CTTATATTCCAGGTGTTTTCTGGACGGACAATTCTGACTTTCATTTGATGAGAAATATTCATCTGGTGCCTAGCCAAGTAGCATTTTTACTTTCTTTGGTTTATGTCACTTATTTGTTTATTTATTTGTTTGTTTCATATGGCATTATTTTGAAGACTAGCAACACCAATTGTAGCAATAAGTTAAATGGTATTGCTCCATTATCCTCCTGTAACTGAAAGGAATATATTTTAGACATTCATCATTTTTTCTTTCATTACAGAATTGGTTTTCCAAGCAAGAAAATTGAGTATGCATTGCCATTATTATTATTTTTAAATGCAATAAGTGTCCAGATTCTAACATTTAGAATTTAGATTTTAAAATCTTAAAATGTTTTCTTGATATGGTAAAATATTAATAAGATTAAATACTTTAAGAAACTTTTCTAATGCTGCATTCTGCTTCATAGCTCAGATCTTTCGGGTAAATTTTAGAGAAAGAGTGGCAAAACCTGGGGTTGAAGTTAAAAGAGGGATCAGCCTAGAATCTCTATATAGCCACAAGTAAAATAAGCCCATCCCCCCTTGAATTCCATTGATCCTAGCAGGTGCTAATCATTAGTTGAGAAGATTCCTGTGCATAGGCACAACTAGCAATAAATAAGTTTAATTGGACCCTCATGTGTGGATCTAATCTTTCATGCTTGATAGGAGTTGGATATGATAACTATGGAAAATCTCAGTTAATGTTTTGGCATTCACATTTGCCATTGCTTGAGGGATCCTTTTTGAAATCAAGGTTTTAATTTAGCTTGTTGCTAAATCTGTTTCTTTGGAAGTAACACCTCAATGTTCAGTAGGATTTCCCTGTAAAGGACATTGAGTTGTCACCTGTTAATAACTGTTAACTTTGTCCAAAGGTATGCAGGCTTAGAGCCAGGAATTCATTAGTGCTATATTGACTGGAGATGAATTAAACTTTAAAGAATTTTAGCTCTGGTAACAATAAAATTATAGAATTATTATTATTTTTTGTTTTGGATAATTACCCATGCTCCACATATATAGCAATAGTACTTGGACTTATATACCGCTTCACAGTGCTTTACAGCCCTCTCTAAGTGGTTTACAGAGTCAGCATATTGCCCCCAACAATCTGGGTTTACTGACCTCAGAAGGATGGAAGGCTGAGTCAAAGTTGAGCCAGTGAGAATCGAACTGCTGGCAGCTGGCAGTCAGCAGAAGTAACTTGCAGTACTGCATTCTAACCACTGCGCCACCACGGCTCATATATACATATTCTTTTTGCATTGTAAAATTTAGTAGTGCTATTAAAATAGTGGTCATTTACTTTCCATCCAGATGTCATTGGCAGAACAAATGGGAAACTGGTATATAAAATCTTTTCTAGGGCTGCAGGTTCCCTAACATCTTCTACAGTTTTCTCTTTTTCTTCCTCTTAAAAGCAAAATGTCCTCATTGGGTTAGTTCCATTGAAGCAGAGAATGTAGCATTCATATCTGTTGTGTGAATGGGTTTTATCAATATTCCCCAATCTGATGTCTTTCATATATGTTGAACTTTAATTCTCCAAAGAACATTCTGGCTTGGACATCTGGGAGTTGAAGTCTGTTGGTTGGAAGCCAACAGATAGGGAATGAGTCATAAGCAGATACTATATCAATGAAAGAATGTCGAAGTCTTGTTTTGCCTGGAACGAGTCCCTTCAAGCTTTACAATTAGATCTGGTTTATTTTTCTTGGGGGGGAAGAGTGTGCTGTTAATTCCTGCATTGGAGGACACACCTCTCAAGTGCTCACAGAGCCATTAACATGATACAGTATTAACTCATTGCTGCTCTGAGGAAGACGTAGTGTCATTTTAATGGGATGCTAATTGGCCTAAAGGGTTTCATATCAACAGGATATAATGAACGCTTCTTTAATGGGCAAATTGTTTGGGGGGGCAGTTTTCAAAATTCACTTTATTGATAGTAATCCAATTCATTCCTATATCTACAGTATGTAATAAAAGTTTCATAAAAGTTGTGGAAACCTCAATATGCAGTAAGATGTGTATGTATGTATCAATAGCATATAGGTTAATATACCACTTAATACTGCTCTACAGCATTCTCTGGGTGGTTTACAGAGTCAGCATATTGCCTCCAAGAATCTGGGTCCTCATTTTACTGACCTTAAGAGGATGGAAGGCTGAGTTAACCTTGAGCCAATCAGGATCAAACTCCAGACTGTGGGTAGAGTTTGCCTGTAATATTGCATTCTAATCACTGCACCACCAGGGCTCCTGGTATACAATATCAGGATATTGTGTGTGTGTGTGTGTGTGTGTGTGTGTATACATATATTGTACACACACATACATCTTTGAACTGTTGCCCTGGAGTAAACTTCAGTTCAATGTATTGGATTTAGGTACCAACCAACTCCAAAATAATTCTGGCTGGTTGACAAGTTAACAAATAGAATGAAACAATCTGAATAAAGAAAAAAAAAGACCCAAGTTAAACAGAGAACAAAGTAGATAACAAAATTATCTAAAAAGAAGATAACAAAATGCCAGATTCAGCCATCAACATGGAGAACATATGTATGGTCTACAAGGGGCACCAGCCATCCTACTGGTGCCCCTTGTAGATCATAGCAAGCTGAGTAGCAAGTGCCATGATAGAGGACCCAGAACTGGGCAGACATCATGGGAGATAAGTGATTCCTTTCAAATAAACCATCTCTGGTATCATGGACAGCTAAAGAAACAAACTGATGGCTCATCAGACCAGAGTTATCACTTGAAGTATAAGAGACCAAGCTTAAATGATCTTACTTCAAGATAAAACACTTTTACTAGAAGCTGTAGGAAATTGTATGAGTAACAGGGGCACCATGTTTTTGTCTTTCTCAGATGATAATGGCCTGCTGTTCAGCTTTAGCATTCTTGCCTCTCCGTTAGGGAAAAAAAAATTGATAAAGGTTTTTAAAAGTAAATAAAGACTAAAAAAAATGTTTCTCAAAGCTCTTTTAAAAGAAAGACATTAAAATTTACGTTAAAAAAAAAACAAGACAGGATGATACAGTAATCGTCTAAAAATAGTGAGATTTCAGTTTAGATTCCTAACCTTCGATGAAGCATCAGGCTGTTCTGTTCTGGAGGGACCATCGCGCTACCCTAACTTTCTTAGAGAAAAGAAAAGTTTTGGGAAAAAAAAATCTTATGAGACTAATGCTATTAGCATTAAATATGGCTACAATTAACCATCCCATTCTCATTTCTCTGTTTAGGTTTTGGGCTCATCAGGGGGACTATTGAAAAATAACGAACCTGTAAATATCTTTGACAAAGGAAAAAATACTCCAACTTCTGCTAAAATCAAACTTTGTATCAGCAAGGGTAGATCATTTAAACTCAGCCTAATAGGAATAATCTCAAGAGTTTCGATACCTTAGCTATTAATTAAAACAGGCCTTCGACGCCAGGGAAGGTTCTCCTCTCTTGATGAAAGAAATGAATCCTGATATTTTATCCCACCATCATCCTGGCGAAAGAAAAAAGAATGATTGCAATGCATAATCAAGTCTATCTTTGAGATCTTTGCATCCTAAAATGTCTTGCCTCTTAGTGAATATCAAATGACGTGAATATTGTGCTGTTTACAGTGGATTTATAACCTTAAAGTTAAGTGGCACACATTTGGAATTGTTAGGAGGAACGGCTGCACCTAAATATTAGATTATGCTTCTTGTTTCATGCAGAGAATGAAACTCATGAAATACAAGCACTGGTACACAATATTTATGTATATGTGAGATAAATCGATGATGATGATAGATGATAGACAATAGAGAGATAGAGAAGATAGATAGATAGATAGATAGATAGATAGATAGATAGATAGATAGATAGATAGATAGATAGATAGATAGATAGATAGATAGAGTGCTCTAGACCAGGGGTCCCCAAACCCTGGTCCATGGACCAGTACCGGGCCACGACATGCCAGCAACCAATCTGCACAAATAAGCAAAGCCCCATCTGCGAGATGCAGGCAGCACACAAAACCACGCACCCTCCGGTCCGCAGAAAAACCTCTCTCCATGGAACCGGTCCCTGGTGCCCAAAAGGTTGGGGACCTCTGATCTAGACAGACAGTCAGACAGACAGACTGTATCTACTGCAGGATGAAGAGTTCTTGAAGGTTACGGACCCAACTCTACTATGCTGGTCCAAAGTAGGTTAGTAGATAGATATTTTTCAGCTTCCTAATCTGGGGCTGAGAGAAGATGATTGGAGCCAAATTACCTGAACAGCTTCCATGCCTAGGGGAGGACTAGAACTTGGGTCTCCCATTCCTAGTCCAGAACCTTAATTACTGGCTGCTATACCATAATCATTTTATAATCTCTCTCTCTCTCCCTCTCTCCCTCTCTCTCTCCCCCCATATATTTGTATACATATCTACAAGCATCTGTACAGTTTCCTAAAGCAACAATGAAAAATAATATATTCCATGATACGTTTGGGGCCATTACTGTCATCAATCTACTGATTTTGGAATTAAAACTTTCTCTAAGGAATGCTTTAAAAAAAACCAGAGTCATGTAATTGCAGTATAGAAAAAAGCACACCTCCAATAGCATGGGTTCAAACTGGATCTCATCATGTGATGTATCGCGATGTTTTTTGCCTTTGCGGATCCAGAGTGGTTCTGGCCTGTGCGTGACGCATCCCGCTCACAGGCCACCTGTTTAACACCCCTATCCTATAGGATAATTGTTTTTTCGATAATCATATATTCTCCTGGTGTCTTCCAAAGGTGTCCCCACAATTTGCATTAAAAGCATTTTTCTTACACACCAGGAAGATGCCAGAATTAGAAAGTTTGCTGTATAAATTTAGGAAACATCAATCTGCTATGGAAAGATGAGTTGAGTGAATATTATGCTAATACTGTCCTCTCCTTTGTTTTGTAACAATTGAACTTTATTCTATCAATAGGTCCTAGATGTGAATCAATCCCATGATGCAACATGTCTCCCCAGTGCCATCTCTGACAATGATGGCCACACAGACTGTACCCCCTCCCCCTTATCAGGAACCCCAACAGGTGAGTATTCTGGCTTCCTTTTTGCAACCACACCATTCCAGTTTACGATATTTATAGGCCTACTACAGTATTGCAGAGAGCGAGAGAAAAGCGAGAAGTAAGGACCAGTGTAAATTTTAATCCTTCCAACCACATATTTTCCAATTCTTCCATCTGTATTTTTTCTATCCTGCTCTATGGAGTAGAGAGTTGGTCTCTGACAGAAGGCCACCTGAAGAGACTAGAAGCATTTGAAATGTGGATTTACAGGCGGCTGTTACGTATAAGCTGGGTTGACAAGATCAGAAATGAGGAGGGGATAAGCCGCCTGGGAAAGCCAAGGGAAATCATCAAAACAATTAAAAAACAAAAATTAGAATATTTCGGACATGTGATGCGTCACCCAGAAAAATACGGCATACCCCATTTAATCCTCCAGGGAAAGATTGAAGGCAAATGAGGTCCAGGCAGAAGAAGAACATCGCGGCTTCAAAATCTAAGGGTCTGGTTTGGACAAAACTCAGCAGCACTTTTTTGTGTGGCTGCTGATAAAAACAGGATCACCAACATGATTGCCAACGTCCGATAACGGATATGGCACAAAAAGAAGTGTATTATAATCAAAAAGGTTAGCCCACTTTATCATACAGTATAGTCTTTCACTTATTCTTCTTCTCTTTTAAATTTTAATGAAAGATTTTTACATTTTAGCAATTGCACGTTCATCAGTGCTACACAATTTTTTTTTCAAACTCTATCTTACAATGTTCAGAATGATAAATTATTTTGTCTATAATGAATCTTTGTAGATAGGAGAACCATTGTCAGTTATATCCTGCTGCCACCAGTTTTTCTCTTGATTTTATTTTACATTCCCCTTGACAAAACCTGGAACTCTGGGGTGCATTTTCTTTCCAGACATCAACAGTGGAACTTACAGAATTTGGAAGGAAGAGGGATGTTGTATAAATTCGCCGGCTATAAGGAGACACTTTTCCATTTCTCAGTTAATGTTCCCCTTGGAGAACTGTAGAAGATTTAAGGTCTATAAAAAGGAACTAATATCTGCCTATAGAATACTCTTGGGCCAGTAACATCTGGACCACTGATATATTCACATCAGATGGTGATGATACTTATTGTTATTATTTTGAGGCTAAGGAAAGAGTCTCATAATTCTGGGTTCCTTTCAAGAGAAGAATGTTTAGATATTGATAGAATGACTGCCAGGAAGGGAAAAAACCCTTCATTTTTAATACTAGTTGTCATATCTTTTAAAGAGGGAGAGTTTCCTTAAAAAAATGTGCAGAGGGAAAGAGTACAGGTAGTCCTCAACTTACAACAGTTCATTTAGTGACCGTTTGAAGTTACAATGACACTGAAAAAAGTGACTTATGACTGTTTGTCACGTGATCCAAATTCAGACGCTTAGTAACTGACTCATTACTTATGACGGCTACAGTGTTCCGGAGTCATGTGATCACCTTTTGTGACCTTCTGACAAGCAAAGCCAATGGGGGAAGCCAGATTCACTTAACAACTGTGTTACTAACTTAACAACTGCAGTGATTCACTAAACAATTGTGGCAAGAAAGATGGTAAAATTCACTTTACAGTTGTCTCCCTTAACAATATAAATTTTGGGCTCAGTTATGGCCTAAGTTGAGGACTATTTATATTTCTGATAAATCATTCCATGTGGTTTAGGGCATTCTTGCGTTGATTTAATTATGAAGGCCTTCCATGGGCAATCCTCTCTCTGGTGTCCGTAACCTCCCAGGCATTCCATGTTTCCATAATCCCAAAGGAAGATCTTGACTTAGGAGGAATCTGTTTTCTACTGACCTGTTCACTAGAACAGCTACCCTGATATCTGGGGAGGTCCTGCCCTTGGGCACTTGTTTGTAGAAGTTCTTCTCATGGAAAAATGTGAATAAAATACCCCCCCCCATCTACAAAACTGGTGGTCCATTCTGACAGCCATTTTTGATCGACCTTAGGTACCATTAATCTCAGAATGATAGGACATGTTGAGAGTACTAAGGAAAAGTTGCCTCTTATGAAACTAGTTCAGGGGGCAGAAATTTCTGCACCTTATGGGGCGAAAATGGACCTATTTTGGATTTCTAGAATAAAACTAGTTGCCTTGGTGCTATCCACATTTTTCTTCCTGATTATGCTTTTGTTCCCAGTTCAAGCTGTAGAAATTGAAAATCCCTATTGGATGGGAGCGGAAGGAGATCAAGGGGGTCAGACTAAAGGTCTTTCTTGGGTTTGGGGTTTCCTATGGTGGCCAACCATAGGGAACTTATTATATAAATAGGAAGCAGATATTAGCCTTCCCTCACTATTTATGGCCCAGTAATATTGTGAATTACAGCTTTGTCGTCCATGAATGCATCTCATTCCTTTTCAAAGCATTATAAGTTGCTGTCCTTCACAAACCTTATGGAAACAAGAGTCATTATTTAGTTATGAGTGTATTATATTCTTGTGTGAGTAATATTGCCTCTCCTTAATGTAACCTTTCAGTGATAATGGAGAAAAAGCTGAGTGAATCACATCCAGGATGAAAGACTGATTTTTATATATACATTATGCTTATGATCTATGTATCACATTATCTAGAACTAGCAACCAACCACTGGATGGTCAAATGAAGAATAGAATAAAATAATATATCCTGTATTTGTTTAGCAGGTAAATCCTCCTGTTTAAGCAGATGAGGACTTCAAGGTTTTGTTTTCACAATGAAGCATTGAATTTTTTTTTTACATCCAGGATAATTAAATCTGTGGAACTCACCAGGGCAATAGAATTAAATCTGTGTCTCTGCCAGATGTGTGATGATGGGCATTGACTTAGATGACACAAAATGGGATTAGACAGATTCATACAGGAGACATCTGTCAAAGGCTATTTATGACAATAGCTACTTGTCTGATATCTTCCATGGTGGTTATTACTTATGGATAGAGATTAGACAAAAGAAGTAAAATAAAATATGCTACCTAGAGTCACTTCTGGTGAGATGGGTAGCCATATAAATTTGATACTTTTTATAAAGAATAGAAAAAGTCAATATGCCCCATTGTGCCATCTGCTGGGAAGGATAAGGAGGGAATAAAACTCTTCAGTGGGAAGATCTGGTTGAGGATTATGAGAAACAAAATGGCTTCATTAGATCAAATTTACTGAGCCGTGGTGGCGCAGTGGTTAGAATGCAGTATTACAGGCTAATTCTGCCAACTGCCAGCAGTTCGATTCTCACCGGCTCAAGATTGTCTTGGCCTTCCATCCTTCTGAGGTTGTTAAAATGAGGACCCAGATTGTTAGGGGCAATATGCTGACTCTGTAAAACAGAGAGGACTTAAAACAATATGAAGTAGTATATAAGTCTAGTGCTATCGCTATTTCATTTGGATCCCATGTTAGTTTCTTATTGCAGACCAAGCAAATGCTCATAACATAATCTTAACTTGTCCTCTCCAACAGATTAAAAATCCAAAGCCGGATGAATTCATTTCTTGTTGTCATATTATATATTTCTAATTCAATTTAATTTTAAATCCATCAAAATGTAATCAAGGGTTTTTTTTAATTATGATAAAGAGATGATTCAATTTACTCTACCTTTTCCCAAAGATTTCGAAATAAATGTGTTTTGTTTGCAGAAAAGGAAATACTGAGCTTGGACGGCCAAATTTCATACCAGTTAAGGTTTTGTTTTGTTTTGTTTCTATAAAGCTCCAGCTGCTGAAAGTAGGGGAATTTCAGCTTTCATTTAGAAATAAAGGAGCAAATTGGAAGAGCCACAAATATATTGCCAAAAAGCTTGTAGTTTGTGTCTTAAAAGTCTCATAAATATAAAAGCACCTACAGATTATTCTAAAATATTTGCCATCTAACAATGGACATCCTTGTCTTATCAAAATGTCCCTTTCTATCATTTACTAGGCCTGTGTGTGCACAACCTGATTTTCTCATCTTGCTCTCCCTCTGATTTTCTTAACATCGGTCTGATCCACAAAGTGACCATCTTAAGATCAAACATTCTGCTTCGTGGATAAAATGAGATTTAGACACTCTAAAATCAGATAAGCCCCAGAGACACAGGTGAAATTTTGAGAATATGTGGTGGATCTTCTCCCAAAATGCCTTCCTTGGGATTATCTAGTTATAAAATGGATTCTGCCAGAAGGAATGGTTCAATCCAACATACTGATTTTACCGGAGACAGGCAATGTTTGAGCTTCTGTCTGCCAGCCTCTTTAATTTCCTTCAAGATGGGCTGTCCATCACCTCAGTTTACCTTTGTTTTTTTTCCCCCTCAGGGCAAATAGTTGCTGTTCCAAAGAAAATCCTGACTTTTAGCCACCTTCTCTTTTTATTTTCTAAGAATACGTGTAGTGAGATGTCTCATAAAGGGAAAAAAACACTTTGCAGCATATACATTTCTTCTTTTCTTTAAGAAGGATGTTCAAAAAGAACAGCAGTGAGACAAGATAGGCATTTAAGGAGCTTTCCACGTTGATGATCCATGTTTTAATTGCTACACAATGGTATCTCTAAGGAGCACCATTATTACACATGTAAGGATAAGGACTTCACTAATCATTTCTGTCAGGAGAAATTGGTTCCTCTAAGTCAGGGGTAGTCAACCTTGGCTCTTTTATGACTCGTGGACTTCAACTCCCAGAATTCCTGAGCCAGCATGGCTCAGCATGGAAACCTCTTCATTTCTCCTCAGCATGGCTGGCTCAGGAATTCTGGGAGTTGAAGTCCACGAGTCATAAAAGAGCCAAGGTTGCCTACCCCTGCTCTAAGTCATAGGTGTCAAACTCTCCACGTCACGTGACGTGTCGCAACGTATCGTGACTCTTTTTGCATTGCTGGCAATGGGGTGGGCGCGTTTTCGGTATGATGAAACTGGCCCACGGGCCAGCAGTTGGACACCCCTGCCTAAGTGGTATCTGCAGGGAGATAAGAACAACAGAATGACTACACTAGGGTCGTAGCAC